TCGGAAGCCCGCCGATGACAAAAGTCTTGCGATGGTTGTAAGGTGTGTGCCCAGCATTAGACTGTCGGGTTAATAAAAGCAGTCTAAAGGTGCCCATACACTGCTCGATTCTCGTACGAGAATCGCCGGAAATCCCGCGATCGTACGAGAATCGAGTAGTGTGAACGAAGACGTGCGACCGTTTCTACTGTACGGTCGCACGTCTTTTGTCGAACCAGCATGCTCGTGCATTGAATCGTACGATTGTCGGCGGGTTTCTAGCCTGCTCGTTCGAAAACAAAGGTGTGGGCAAAACAGGGCGATGACTCATCCTGCTGTCTCTCCACAGAGGAGAGAGGGGAGGGGGAAACAGCTGATTGCAGTTTACTGATTTGAAACCTGACCCTGTGAGAGAGACGGATTGAAGATATTGTGGAGGGAATTTTGAACTTCTAGGCCTCTGGCCTGTAAAATAATCTATAAAATAAAGTATGAAAAACAGCCCTGTGACTCCTAAGAATGCACACACATGTACACCCCCCCCTGCACCTCCACATTACCACCAAAAACTCAAAATCACTTACAAAAGGTGGAAATGTCCTTTAAAAAGTTTAAACAATGGCTGCGGTTTGCAGCCTTGTCTCTATCTTCTCTCTCACACACTGTTTCGATGTGAGAGAGAGGAGATAGTGAGAGCTTCAGAACAATTGTCCACAGTAAGCACTTACAGTGATACACACTTCACAGTTACACTATGCTACAGATCACTGATTTTTACTTTCAACCGTGCGATTTCAGTGTAAGTGCGATTTCCCAGTTTTATCGTTGTGATCCGCAGTGTCATCCGTGCGATTTCACAGTCTCAGCAGTGTGATCTGTAGTGTCAGTGTGATTTCAGTGTCAGTACATTGAACAGTCTCATCAGTGATCCGCAGTGTCACTGCAAATTTCAGTGTCAGTGCATTGAACAGTCCCATCAGTGATCTGCAGTGTCAGTACGATTTCAGTGTCAGTGCATTGAAAAGTCCCATCTGTGATCCGCAGTGTCAGTGTGATTTTAGTGTCAGTGCATTGAAAAGTCCCATCAGTGATCCGCAGTGTCAGTGCATTGTACAGTCTCATCAATGATCCGCAGTGTAATCAGTGTCATTTCAACGTGTCAGTGCATTGTACAGTCCCACTAATAAAAATGTTCTAAAAAATGTACAGCAGTGAGGAGGCATTTCAAATCCTCAGCATGTCTGGTGAGAGTGATGGAGAGGCCTCCCTGTCAGATTCTGGATCAGAGTATGAACCTGTGGAGGGCAGCGGTTCAGCATCCTCTGATTCAGAAGAAGACATTGTGCTCACTAAAAGATCCAGGCGTGCTGTCCAACATCCAGCTGGCATGCAGCAGCCAAGTACCACTACCACCGTTCATCCCCAACATCAGCCACAAAGAATCAGGGCCCAAAGATCCAATGCTAACATAACAGAGGCACTTTCTAATCCTGAATGGCTACCCTCACATTCTGCAACAACGGTCATTCCCCCATTTACTGCCAATCCAGGAGTCGAAATGGAGAATTTTACCGCAATACAATTTTTTAATTTGTTTTTTTACTGATGACCTCTTCAATTTAATTGTAAACGAATCCAATCTTTATTATGAGCAGTTCGTTGCAAGCAATCCCCATTCCTCCTATGCCAGGCCATTTGAGTGGAGGCATCTGACTGTTCCTTAATTTAAAATCTTTTTGGGCCTGTCAGGGACCAGAGCACCTCCAGGTGGCGCTGGAACCAAGTCCTGCAGTTCCTGTGCTCACCTGCGGGTGTCTCCCAGCTGTCTGCAATTAGTCTCCACTTGGTGCTGGCCTGGGAGGGTATTTGGCCCCTTCTCACAGTGAGGATGGTGCCTCAGTATTGTCGCCATAATCTGTATTCTTTTGCCTGTATCCTGTTGCCTGTATTCTTTGCCTCCTTGGACCCTGACTCCTGACTCCTTCCCCTGAGGTCTCCTGATCTGTGGCTCCCCTCTTGTTGCCCTGCTCCCCAGGTTAACTTGCCCTGTTATACTCTGTGTGTGATTCTGCTGTTTAGTTTTGCTATTTTATGTTACTTGTGGGTGTTGGTGGGGTTGCTTGCGTTTATATGAGTTTGTTATGTCTAATAAACTATAAGTTCATAAGCCTTGTTTGGTGTGGTCAAGTATTTGGTCCTTCTGTATAGATAGCTGCACGCAGCGTGGGGCACCTGTGCACGGTATCGTGATACTAACACTCAATATGGGACTCACCCAAAAAAATTAGCTGAATGCGTACTGGTCTACAAACCCAATCCATCGTATGCCCCTATATTCTACAACGATGTCCAGTACAAGATATAAAATGAAAAAATTATTTTTTTCTATACAAAGTTATCAATTACTAAGATATACAGGTGAAACTCGAATAATTAGAATATCGTGCAAAAGTAATTGCAGTAAGTGCTGCAAAAGGGGCCCAAACCAAGTACTGAGTACATATGCATGCTTGTACTTTTCAGAGGTCCGATATTGTTCTATGTACAATCCTTGTTTTATTGATTGCATGTAATATTCTACTTTTTTGAGGTTGTGGATTTGGGGTTCTTGGGGTTTTCATGAGCTGTAAGCCATAATCATCACAATTATGACAAATCACGGCTTGAACTATCTTGCTTTGCATGTAATGAGTCTATCTCATATATTAGTTTCAACTTTTAAGTTGCATTAGTGAAATAAATGAACTTTGCACGATATTCTAATTATTCGAGTTTCACCTGTACACAGGAAGTTTGAAGGTGGGATAAAGGGGGGAGCAAGGAGCAAGAATCCAGATTGCAGCCCTGGGATACCACTTCCTGCACCTAAGTATCCGTCATGCAAGTTGTCTGAGTGACCCCCACACAGGAAATTGAGGGCTCAACTGCATGCCAAGGAATGCTTTTCTGCATGTTTAGCAGACTAAGTGCAAGACCTAGAAGACAGACTAGGAATTGAGAAGGAGAGTCTCAACAGGGAAGTGGCGAAACAAGAGGGAGGTTTCTTAACAGAGAGAGAGTTCTAGGCTTCCTTTTCTGAGGAAAAAACGTGCTCTTGATGTCAGTAATATCCTAGATAAATAGCATCTAGAAACAATACAAAGACATATTGTCCCTCGAAGATCATGCACAACAAACACATCTGATACAAGAAGTCCACAGCTCAGCACCATAACCAGGGTGCCCACACATGAGTACTGACAGGAAAATCGTGCAATCCAGGAAGCTTTTAGCAGGCTGGCACAGCTGAAATTAAAAATTACAGCCATTTGTCCATGCATACTTTGTGGTTAGACAAAACACAATCACAAGCAGGAGCTGTCAATACAATTAATGTAAAGAATAAGACTACCACAATAAGGAGAAAATAAATTGTCAGATGTGGGCTAAATAGGCACAGACCAAAATCAGTGTGAACGATTCTTCTTTAAAGGAGAACTATGAGGTGAGTGATTTTCACTCATCCTCATAGTTCTAGCCGACCTGTGACAATGAAACTGTCACAGGTCAGCTCAGTAGCTCGGGAAGTGAGCGAACCCATACCGGCGCTCGCTCGCTTCTCGATCCTGTTACTGCAGAGAGCTGTGGCAGGGGTGGGACTGGATTCCCCCCTCCCCTGTCCGATCCTCCAGCGCTGACTGGCGAAACGGATGGGGGAGGGGCGGGTACAGCTCGCTCTGCCTCTGGATAGGCAGAGCCAGCTGTCATGCAGCATGCAGCTTGGCGGATCCAGACATAATTGTTTCAGCTGCGGCGTCTCAGTATACCGCAGTATATACAGTAGCTGTAGCTCGCGGTATACTGAGCTTTGGGTGACGGGAGGAAGCTAGTTTGTGTCCTCCCGCTACCCTTAGGAGAACTATGGGGGAAAGAAACCCCATAGTTCTCCTTTAAGAAAGGGCATAGAGTTCATATCTAATAACAGATCCACAGAGGGATTCTAAACTGAACCAGAGAAGTCCAGTGTGTCAGTTAAATTTAGCAGTGAATGGGGGGGAAGAGGACACTAATGGCCCATGAGTCAGAGGTGGTCCCCAGCAGAAGGTGAACCAGACCATAAGGAACCGACTTGATACAAGAGCCAAAAAAGACCAAGTCCTGAAGTGCACTTGCTCAAGTAGAGTCACCCCTCATATAATCGACAGAGATAAAAGTAAAGGCAAAGCAAACAAGGCAATGAGAGGGCCTGTAACAGGGTTCCAGCCAGTGCCTTTCCCACTAAAGAACACATAGAGGCCATAGAGAAAGCAGCAGGAAACCTACTGGTCACTCAGAATGATGGGGAGAGCACTAAACATCTGTGTTAGGGCATGTATAGCTGCAGGGGAATACATTAAAGGAGAACTATGGGGTCAGTGTTTTTCCCCATAGTTCTCCTTAGGGTAACGGGAGGACACAAACTAGCGTCCTCCCGTTACCCTAAGCTCAGTATACCGCGAGCTACAGCTCGCGGTATACTGAGACGCCGCACCTGGAGCGGATCCCGACGTAGATGACGGGATCCGCCCAGCTGCGTGAGTGACAGCTGGCTCTGCCTATCTAGAGGCAGAGCCAGCTGTACCCGCCTCCTCCCCCTTCCGTTCCGCCAGTCAGCGCTGGCAGATCGGAGCGGGGAGAGGGGAATCCAGCCCCTCCCCCTGTCACGGCAGAGAGCCGTGACAGGATCGAGAGGTGAGGGAACCCGGTATGTGTTCTCTCACCTCCCGATCTACTGAGCCGACCTGTGACAGTCTCATTGTCACAGGTCGGCTTAGAACTATGAGGTGAGTGGAAATCACTCATCTCATAGTTCTCCTTTAACCAGGAAGGACTTAAAATCTAAACTCCACAAATAATATCTGTCAATAGGAGCAGGCATATAAAAATCTACAACAGCTTAACAATAGCCACAGGAGACTCTATGAGCGTTTGTGTGCGGATTTTAATAGTGGGTGCTTAGTAGAGTGTGCTATAGGCATGAATGGAAAAAGAGCTGCCTGCACGTTCACTGAACCACTAGATAGCAGCCGTATCAATCTGCATTACAACACAGTAAATCTGTCACAGCCCAGCTACTGCATCAATGTAATGGCATGATGTTTATGACAAGCATACATTAGGTGTATTGTATTTGTGAGCTGAATCTATGTGCCAGGTTCCTTAATCAAGGAAGGAAAGTGTGCACGCCCCAGGATAAGCATCAGCAATGCCCAGCTGCTATATAACTTTTGCGAGCGCTTCTGCTCCTTACTGAGTAAATAGTATGTCATCAGTAGCCAGGGAGAATGAGGAGGAGGGAAATAAACAGTGACAGTTTTTCCCAGTAAACCCGAGGAGACAAAAAAAAAATGAAAGCTCTCTCATGTGGCCAACTTGTAAAGTACACAAAGTGTAACAACCACAGGTAACCATAGCAACACCCTAAAGCCTTGTAATGTACAGGTCCTTGTAACTGCCTGGAGGAACCAGGAACATAAGTGACATCAATGTAAAAGACAAATGTCAATAATTTTCTGCATAAAGCCAGTAGTGTGATAGAGAGAAGGACAGGAATCAATTCACTTTATCACAGTGCTCTGCTAATAAACGTCATCAGACAGTTTTAGACACAATATAAGGAAGAATCCCCAACACAGCATTAGCCTGCCACATTCACTTATGAAGATAAGTCTCCAGAGATGGAGGTCAGTGAAAACTGCCTTGGCTCTGGACTGACTGGGATCCTTGTTTAGATGGAGGGTTTGTCCATATCTGGCCCTGAATTAACCAGTAGCTGTAGATAATGGTAAAACTTCAAGAAATTCAGGGCCTTTGCATAGAGATCATTGGCAAAAAACTGGGAAAACCTGCGTTTCTCAGCCAACTGGAGAAAGTATCCAGGATTTTACATTATCCAGCATGAATCTACCAACACCATTGGCTGATTGGGGAAACTATCCAGAATTACATAGATCCGGCATGAATCTACCAGCAGCTGTTGATAGTAGAAAGTCTTCAAAACAATCAGAGAACAGCAAAGCTGAAGAAAACACGTCCACGTCCGAAGAATACTAGCAGAAAGTAGTATTTGTTCTAAGACAGTTGTACTGTACTCCTCTATGAACATGTTCACTAGCGTGTTTTGAAAGGTTTTACAGTACGTTAGAGTGTAACTGTCTGAGCTTGGGGCCTTACCTGGTTTTTTGATTTTAACTGCACATAGATATTTTTCTTTTTAGGTCTGTATGGCTGCCTTCAAAAGTTTGGCCATACCAGGCTTGTTTGGCGGATAGTTTTCTCCTCGATGCATTCGAGTGTGGTCAGTTGGAGTTGATGTTGCATAGTGAATTATAGTAGGTTTTAAAGATTCGGGCAATATCATGGGAGCTATAGGCTATATGCCACCATTTTCCTTGATGTGAGAAATGTTTCACTACCGTGTTTGTGTTTACATCATACTAGCAATGATCATTGCTGAAAGAGATGCTGATAGACTGACAGCTACATGTGTGAGCTGGCAAGGACTGTACTACCTAGTACAAATTAGGTACATCCTATGTTCTTCATTTGTTAATAATAATCAATGTTATACTCTGTTTGCTTTGTTGACAATATTTGCTCCCAATGTTGGAGAGCAGCCCTTCACAGTGGGAAATATACTCTGAAATGTATGTGTTACAATTAACACCAAAACTTTTTTTAGTTTTAGATAGAGTGTTTAAGTGTTGAAACTCTTGTTAGGTTTTTATTGCTGACTGTTTTCCCACTGGAGAGATTTGTTTGGTGGTTTTTATTTTTCCAATTATAATCTATGGAGTACATAGTGCCTCGCTGTTAGCTGCAAAGCACTAATCTAAATATAAAGCACTTTAAATTAGGGGTAAGGACTGCTACAGGTAAAAAGAAATGTTCCACTTTTCTTGATACTGAAACCTGGTACTACTATCGGTGCTAACTGGAATCCCAGTACCATGTTGGGTTTTTTTCAAGTATTGTAAACATTTTATACAATAATGACCTTATTATATGCTTACCTTTGTAATATATTTAATATTGTCTCTCTTTTGACATATGCGCAGAAGCTCTCTAATGGATCTAAAGGAAAAAAAAGAAAATTAAATAACAAAATGAATTGTTTACGTGTGCGCCAGAAACAGGATCAATATGTGCTAATATCTCCGTAATACCACAGTATATACAGTAAATTCCCAGTTATCTGGCACCCACAGGGATCGGTAGGTGCCGGATAACTGTAGTTTGTGGTTGCTTGAGAGTTAATAATAACTCTCAAGCAATCACACTCCCCCATGGCGTCCACAGAAGTGATGCAATACGCGTCGCTCCCGGGCCCATAGAACGGGGAAGAGATCGCCGAACGGACGCTCGCCACTCTACTTTCCAGCTTCCTGCCAACACCCAAGATGCGGAGCAGCTGAGCCTGGGAAACACGGTGGGGATGTTGGGTGGAGGGGGGCGGCCACTTTACCGGATCGTAGAAGAGATCTGGTGGCTCAGTTGCAGCCAGAATTGCTTCTACTGTAAATCTGGCCACGAGCTGTATAAATACGAACAGAGTCCCGGTGGCTTTTAGCCTGTTTAACCTCTTAAGGACCCATAATGTAATTATCCCTTCATGGGTTGTGAAGGGGTTAAACAGGAACAGTCTTTATTTTTTAAAAGGCAGGTTGCCAAGGCAATCCAACAAAAATAGCTTATCATCAGCATACAATAAAATAAAGTTTGCTTATCTCCAGCATAACATAAAACAGAGGCTCACCGACTTAAATCTTGCGTGCAGGTATAACACCAGAGTTTAGTAACTTCTCACACAACAAACAGTTCTCAGCAAAGCCCAGACCAGTTCAGCAGCTCACACAGCTTTCTCTGCACACCTGTGCTACTACAACTCCTCCACAGGTTCCTCCTGCCTGGCAGTTAACACTTTGTTGCCCCTTTAAGGGACCACAACCCAAATAGAGGGGGCACATACCGACCTTCCAGGACCCACCATCCCTGGCATCCTGTACATTATATATATATAGATCTAATATAGATCTATATATATATATATTAGGGTTGCACAGATACCAAGTACAGTACTCAGTACAAGTACCAGTACATGTACTGATACTTTTCAGCTCCAAGACTACCATAGAGAAAAATTCAAAAATTAGAAGGCAGTTGTCTTTTGTAAGGAGCACACAGAGCTCCTGGAATTTGTACATCTCTGTTTTAATGTAGGATTTTGTTTTTATAAATATAAATAAAGGGATGCACAGATACCAGTTTTGCGAGTACGAGTACTGGTACATTTTTGTTTATTGTCATGTGACAGTTTTTCTAAAACAATACAGACTAATCATTTCAGGACAGTGGTGGAGTGCCAGAGCCAGGTCCCAGCTGCAACCCCTGCAACTCTGGTAGTTCTCAGGAAAATGCCAAGTATCTGCACTGGTACTCGAAAAGTATCTGTGCATCCCGGGGACAAGTGTAGTACAAAGGTTGTCCTCTAGGGGGAAGGGCTGAGAGGGCTGGAGGCTTGGAGGTAACAAGCCCAGCTGAAGCTAGCTGGCTTGTTAGGGCCTCTACAAGTACTCCCAGCCTCCTAAGGAAGGAGCTCCTCCCTGGAACCAGTATATGTGTCTGGCGGACTGGGGAGCAGTTCACCTGTGTGGTGAAAAACAGCCTGTGTGGCAAAAGGCAAGCCTGTGTGGCAAGAGGACAAAGGAAAAGCCTGTGTGGCAAGAGGACAAGCCTGTGTGGCAAGCGCTTTGAATACAGCCTGTGTGGCCAGACATTTTTGTTAAAGGAAAGTGTCCTTAATGTGCTACCGTTTGGAGCTGCATCCTCACACTGTGTACTACATTATAAAATCTCATACCTTTCTGGGCACTAACTTATCCCCCCCTCCAAACACACACACCCAACTAACTGCCGTGCTAGTTAAAAATATCCTAATCTAAAAGTTCCATTAACTTACCTAAATCCATGGTCACGGATGCTTGAGCCTTCACATTTCTGGACTGCAGAGTGGGTGGGTCCCTCTTTGGGTGCCTACATCACTGTTTTTCGGTGATGTAGGCACTGCCCATTGGTTGCCCATCTTTACAGGCTCCTAAAGACTGTACAGTGGTTTAATCAGGTACTTGTTCTTGGCACCAGCAAGGGACAAGTGATGGTAGACTTGGGTGACTAAAAAAGGGGTTTTAAATTCATTTAAAAAGTTTTTGGTTATTGGGTGAAAGAAGGGTGGGGAGGAGGTTTTACTTTGTCCAAACATGGGATTTAAAACAAAAACATTAACAACTGTTAATTTTATGAACTGCTTTAGAAAACTTACAGGGTTATTCACAAAAGGGTGAAGAGTTTGGAGAAGGCAGGAGAAGTGGACAATCTAGGACAAAATAGCTAAACTGGAATGAGCTAAATTGGAGAATTTTTCCAAATCAGCTATTTTGTCCTAGATTGTTCACTTCTCCTGCCTTCTCCAAACTCTTCACCCTTTTGTGAATAACCCTGTAAATGTCATTCAGCTAGGCTTTTCGTCAACTTCTCATTGCTTTCTGAGAATGTAGTCACAAAAACTAGTTGTTTCTAGACCAAACAAAAAACATTTACTATAATTGTTTTTTTCCCCAACAGCCCCACATACAACACAACTCTGTTAATTAGTTTAACTTCTTAGTTACATCGATAACATGCTTTTTGTATTCCCATCTGGTGGTAAGCAAGCATTATAGTATTGTATATTATCACTGTTTCTTTTATAATAAATGTTATAAATCCTCTAACATGCATGCCTATTCCACAACTTTAACTTAGTAGAACATGTTATTTAAGGTGGACCTTTTACTCAAATTCACATTACCTATAGTTGTGCTCAAAAGTTTGCACACTCTTGGAGAATTGGTAATATATGTACCATTTTTAAAGAAAACATGAGTGAGCAGGCAAAACACATTTCTTTTATTTCTTATGGGATTCATATTCAACTGTAGCTCATAACAGAATGGCACAATCATAAAACAAAACATGACAACAAATATAAAAAAATGAAATTACCCCTGTTCAAAAGTCTGCATACCCTTAGTTCTTAATACTGTGTATTGCCCCTTTTAGCATCAATGACAGCATGCAGTCTTTTGTAATGGTTGTCTATGAGGCCTTGAATTCTTCCAGGTGGTATAATTGCTCATTCGTCTTAGCAAAATGCCTCTAGGTCATGCAAAGTCTTTCATTGTCTAGCATGAACCGCACATTTGAGATCTCCCCAGATTGGCTCAATAAAATTAAGGTCAGAAGACTGTGATGGTGACTCCAGAACCTTCACCTTTTTCTGCTGTAACCACTGGAGGGTCAACTTGGCTTTGTGCTTAGGGTCATTGTTGTGCTGGAAAGTCCATGAGCGTCCCATGCGCAGCTTTCATGCAGTAGAATACTATTTGTCTGCCAGTATTTTCTGATAACATGCTGCATTAATCTTGCCATCAATTTTCAAAAGATTCCCGTGCAGATGCGGCTCTAGACTTTGCGTGGCCTTAGGCGAAACTTAAACATGAGGCCCCCCTCACAACCTTAATGGAAAATTGATGGCTGTGTGGGGTTTTAGGAGGCTGTGGGTTTCAGGAGGCTGTGCTTTTTATTTTTTTTTAACTTTTAAAAAAAATGTTGTATTTTTAATTTTAGTTTATTTAACTTTATTTTTTTTGCATTTTTACTTTTTATTTATTTAACTTTTTTAATTTTTTTGTATTTTTCTTTTTAGTTTATTTAACCTTATTTTTTTAAACTTTTTTTATTTTTAATTTTAGTTTAACTTTATTTTTTGAAACTTTATTTTTATTTTTTTTACGTGATTGCTGGGAGCAATAGCCAGCCTGCTATTGGATATTTCAAATTGCAATAGCCAATAGCAGGCTGGCTATTGTACCCACCCACCGCCTGCTGTCAATCACCAGAGGAGGGAACTGAAGGATAAAGTTCTCCATCAGGTCCTCCTGTGCTGATTGACAGCAGGTGTGGGTGGATGCAATAGCCAGCCTGTTATTGGGTACTGCAATTTAAAAGAGCCAACAACAGCTGCTAGAATGGGGGCGATCGCGCGGCTGTCAGCAGGAGAGGAGCACGGAGGGGTGAGTAGACGGCACAGGGGGAAGTTCGCAGTCTGTCAGAGGTTTCTCCTTACAGTCTGTAATCGGCTGCATGTCCCCTCAGACACAGATCACTGCAGCCGATTACAGACTGTAAGGAAAAACTGCTGACAGTCTGTGAGGCTGCATGCTAACATTTCTCCGCCCCCCCTCAACAGCGTCCTTCGGAGGTGACAGGAGTCCTTAATGCTGCGGTGCGCAGACAGCATTAGAAGCCCTGTGTTACGTACCTTATGGGAGACCGGATGTGAGAGGAGGCTTCCCTTGCACCTTGTGTCCTGGGGGACTCTGGGGATGGGAACAGAGACCAGAGGGACAACAAGTGGCAGGAGTGCCAGTGGTGTTGAGCACCGCCGGCTGTCACTTTCTCTCCTCCCCGCTGGGACACAGAGCAGCGCCCCCACCGCCAGTGGTGTTGAGCTCCGCTGGCTTTCACTTTCTCTCCTTCCCGCTGGGACACAGAGCAGCGCCCAGCGGGGAGGAAATCTGGGATGCGCCGATGTATCGGCAGGAAAATTGCACTTTCGGCATTTAGCATTTTCAAGGCTTTGGATATCTTTTTATATTCTTTTCCATCTTTATAAAGTTCCATTACCCTGTTACGCAGGTCTTTTAACAGTTCCTTTCTGCTCCCCATGGCTCAGTAACTAGCCTGCTCAGTGCATCCACATGAGAGCTAACAAACTCATTGACTATTTATACACAGACACTAATTGCAATTTAAAAGCCACAGATGTGGAAAATTATTCCTTTGATTGCCATTTTAACCTGTGTATGTCACCTTGTGTGTCTGTAACAAGGCCAAACATTCCAGGGTATGTAAACTTTTGATCAGGGCCATTTGGGTGATTTCTGTTATCATGATTTAAAAAGGAGCCAAACAACTATGTGATAATAATTGGCTTCACATGATCACTGCCAGGGTATGCAATTTTTTGAGCACAT